AAAAACTGGTCATTGCGGGGCACCTGGGTGGCTCAGTGGGTTAAAGCCTCTGCCTTTGGCTCAGGTCATGGTCCTAGTGTCCTGGGATCGAGCCCCACGTCGGGCTCTGTGCTCTGCAGGGAGCCTGCTTCCACCTCTCTCTATCTGTCTGCTTCTCTGCCTACTTGTGATCTCTGTCTGTCAAATAAATAAATAAAATCTTAAAAAAAAAAAAACTAGTCATTGCAAACAGTATTATGTGACAACACTGAAAATCAGATTCCTTCCTTCCCCAGGAACCATGGAGGATATTGCTTGTTTTAGTTGTGCTCATTCATTTTCTCAACTAATTATTTCTGAACTAACACTCCAAAATCTGTATTCTTTGTCATGTGGTTCCACTGAAATCTTTAATAGTTCAGTGGTTAGTTAATGATTGGAAGAGATCTTTGAACATATTTAGAAGCAGTAATTCTCCTAGTCTTTTTTGAGGAGGACTTTGTGTATTTTGGATCACATCTTTAGTCTTCAGTCTTGCTGTTTAGAATTCGACTTTAGCTTTTGCTTTCTGCTTTTCCAGAAACTCAAGGTAACCCAGAGCTGAAAACCCAAGGCATTCTCAGATGTTTTTGAGAATTCGCACTACACTGTTCTTATTGTTGCCCTAAGATTCCTAGAAATAAGTCAAAACATTTTATAGACCCTATGGATATCATTCCTGCCTTCTTTCTTAAATTTACTGTTTATTTAGCTTATTGCTTGTCCCAATTGTTATCTATCACTTCAGACAGCAACAAAGTAAAAACACTTGCCTGTAACTGATTTTGACAAACTCCTCTCCCATCTTCCCCCTCCAGCTCCCAAATAAGGCTTTTTGTGCTGGGTGAAATCTGAGTCAGGTTTTCATGTGGGTTCTTCCAGAGAACCACGAAGTTTTGTTCTGCTTCTTCCAGTGACTGCCAAGCTGCTTTGGGGGACGGGGCAGGTTGTTATTTTTTAGTGCTACTGCTGAACTAAAGAGCAGGCAATGGGAATCGGGCAAGTGAAAAATTCCAGAGTTTAAAAAAAAGTTATTACAAAGAGTCATCTGTTTTTCTTTTAATAAATGTTCCCTGGGTTGTTTTTAAACCTTGGTTAATTCAGGAATTAATGGCCCAAAATTATGATTTTCCCTTTTTTTTTAAACCAATTTTTCATTGCTTTTATGGAAGGGCAAATTTTCAGGAGTCTTTACTTGTCTATTTTCAATGACTTCACCTCAGATGGGTCCTTAAATTATTATAACTTTAATTTAATCTTACATGTACTATGATTTTATTATATTGACTATAACAAACTTAAAGGGCTTCATTAAATATCCAACCCAGTGTTTGTAAAATCATAAGTGCCCAAACAAAAATAATTCAGTTCATCTAAATTTATGTCAGTTTCATTGAAAATTTTAGTTTACCAGAAGATTCTATTTTGTACTTATTAGTTGAGATTTTACTGTCACTTTTTTACCCTTTAGTATATGTTCCAATTTAAACCTAAATTTCATCTTCCTAATAGTAAAACATGAAAGGAGCATTTGTTGGACTGACTATCAGAGCTTTACTAATTCCCACCAACTGCCCTTCCCCATTTTGGGATGAAACAATTTCCATTTTAAGGCAGTAGTCAATTTTGAGGATTTTTTTTTCAATTATGAATTTTTGACTTTGCTTATAGTTTGAATATCTTTCACTCATTTATCCCTGCTAATCCCATCCCTCCCACCCACCCCATATACAATGGTATCATTTTTCTTGAGGAAAGCCAGTGGACACATCATAGGAAACAATGGATTGAGGTGACATAGGGTCAGGTTGCTGGGGGAATAATCAATAGGAGAAGAAATAATTCCAGAACTGATGATAGTTATAGTAGGACCAGTGAAGGGGTTGGCAACAATCCTTAGATGGCCTTTTCACACACCTCAGGATCCACGTCCTCACATTCAGTAAACAGACCACCAAGAATGTGTGTGAGAGGAGAACTCTCCACATGGAGATTGCGAAAACTAGCTCTGAGGAACACATACATTCAGAATTATTTGGGTGGACTTAAGGAAAATTAAGACTTCTGGAAAAGTAAGTAAAGTCAGAGCCATGGAAATCTCATTTTGTATGTTTGATTTTTGTGTGTGTGTGTTTCTATTCTTACCAGTCTTATTTAACTTAGGAAACATGATTTTTCTTCCTAATGGTAATGACAATATCAACTAACATTTACTGAGAACTAACTTTTTTCTAGGCACTATTAACTATTTCCCTGTATGAAATCAAATCCTCAAAACCCTTTTATAGAAGGTCTGTTTCTATCAACTCCATTTTAAAGAGGAGTAAACTGAGGCAGAGAAATTAGTAACTCACCCAGCATAATCATATAATTACAAGTAGTAAGTTTTAAAGTCAGGATCTGAACATAATTGAAACTACCCATATAACATCTTGCCTTCTAGAAATATAAATATATGAAATCATATCTTTTTTTAAAACTTGGCTGTGAAAGCAAAGTTAGTGCTAGTGGTATGTCTATTATTTAGGACTATTCATCATACTACAGTTGGTGGCTGATGGTATAGAAAAGCAATTCATTATTCTGCTCTCATTAATATATTTGCTTCTCATTTCACTTAAAGTAAATGACAAAGTAGATTGATAATATAGAAGATTCTGTATTTTCTGGCCCCCTCTTATTTTTCACATTTTCTTTCTTTCTTTTTCTCTTTCTTTCTTTCTTTCTTTCTTAAGATTTATTTATTTTTTCAGAGAAGGAGAGAAGAAGAGAGTATAGGGGCAGGGCAGAAGGAGAGGGAAAGAACTCTGTGCTGAGCTTGGAGCCCAACTTGAGGCTCAGTCTCAAGAGCCTGAGATCATGACCTGAACTGAAACCAAGAGTCGGATGCTTAATCAACTGTGCCATCCAGTCACCCTCACATCTCCTTTCTACTTCCCTCTCCAATGCTACTGACCTCCTTGATGCTTCTGAAAACCAATAGGCAAGCTCCAGCTTTTATCTCTGCCCAGAAACTATCTCCCAGATATCAACATGGCTAACTCCTCTAATGTCCATAAGACTTTACTCAAAACTCACTGTTTGTTTGTTTTTTTTTAAAGATTCTAGTTATTTATCTGACAGAGAGAGAGAGAGAGAGCATAAGCAGGGGCAACAGTAGAGGAAGATGGATAGAGGAAGGCTCCCCGCTGAGCAGGGAGGAATTGAGGGCATCCATCCCAGGACCCTGGGATCATGATCCAAGCTGAAAGCAGCCACCGAACTGACTGAGCCACCCGGTTGCCCGTCAGACCTCACTTTTTCAATGAGGTATGCCATGTTCATCCCATTTAATGCTAAAATTTATACTGCAACACCCCTTCTGTACTTCTACTCCTACTTATTAAGCTCTATTTTTCCCACAGCACAGACCATCTCTATCATGTATAATAAATACACATGTATTTATTATATTTGTTGTTTGTTGCCCGTTTCTGCTCCCGGAACACCAGCTGCGTGAAGTGAGGAAACTGTCTTCCTCCACAGGGTAGATGCTTATTTATTGAAAGAAAGAATAAATGCAATTTCTGAAAGTGAAAGAAACTCATGAATACCAATGGACTTCAGCCCACTCTGGGTAGTCTGCTTCTCTAAGAGTGTCTTTAAATTTCATCCTTTGGACTTAGTATACGCTGTATCAGCCTTCTAGGTAATTTCTTCCTGGAAACCCTGATATTTCTGCTGAAATAACTCTAAGCAATTTTCTCAGAAATACTTTGTACTTTCTTTCCATGATCCCATGTAATATGTGGTTCATAGCTTATTTCTAGTGCTTAGAACTAGGTATTTGAATTTATCTTTGGACATGTTTCTAGCCATAGACTCCACCCCTCCCTAACCTAGAACATTTATCTCTCATCTTTGCATCTATAGTACCTAGCACAGCAACCGACATGGTGTCAACCCTTCTGTTAATGAGAGGAACAATGGCTATTTCTTTTTATCTATGCTAAGGCCCTTACAGACTTAAAAGATGGAGGCTTATATTCATAAGGTCTTTTAAAAAAATGTAATAGTCTAATATCTGTAACTGGCTTATGACAAGTGTGTAGTTCCAGAGACAACCTTCTTACAGACAACATTTCTAAGTGGGATATAACGTCATATTTGGAAATCTATCTAATGTATGTAGGCTGTTGTATTACTATGCATGTGTGCACACACGCAGGCTGAAGGCTCAGGGTTAGAAAGGGGTTGAGGACAATGTTAATTCCACTGAATAGTGATTCTGAAGCATACTTCAAAAGCAACCTCTTCTTCATGAAGAGATTTATGATCTGTCTCACATGCATCTCTCTCTCTAGAGACTATAAACCATGCAAAGCAGCAACACCCGTATTTTAGCAAAAGTAATTTGAGAAGAGTATCATAATCAAATTCTCATCATTTTTGCTTTGGTATAATTACCAGTATATGCACAATGATGAACTAGAATAACTCCTGTGAAATTTTTCAAGGAAAAATTAGCCAAGGTATAATATATTGTGTACCCTTGGGTAATCATGATCCTTCTCCCATATGGTTCCAAAAACCCTTATTTAACTCAATCATATATTTTCAGAATTACATAATTACATTTAACCAATGGTAAAATACTAGTAGAGCAAACAATGTATATTTTCAATCTTTTTTTTTTCAAATTTTTCTCAGAGAATTCTTTATGAGGTAACACAGAGAAAACTACCAATATGTAGATTATTATTCATTTTTTAAAGTGGCTTCACTTCTTCAATTAAAAAAAAATTCTATGTTTTCTTCTACACATTTCACTAAAACTAATTCTAAGAGAAAAGCCAATATTTTTAAATTCATTTTTATATAAAAATAGTAATTTCCAAGGAGATCAACTTTGTTATTAAAGGTGTTTCCTTTGATTTGAGACCGCTTTTTCTACATGGTTCGAGAGTGATAACTGAGAGTGTAAAATGTGAGTAAATACAAACCAACAAGGATGGAGTAGAGGATGCCTGGCCTATCTGATGGTGGCTGGATATTCCGGTCCTGGTCAACAGCTTGGATGGGCGGGGTAACAATGATGGGGTTCAGTTCTTCCTGGAAAAAAATTCGGACAGTTTAGTTCAGCTTTATTATTAATGCCTCATGAAAAACTGACACTCAGGGATTGGGTATTATAGTTTGGACAGCTAGGTAATATCTGAGCTACTATTAAACTCAGGTTTCAGGTATTAGATCTTATAGTCTGGACAGCTAGGTAATATCTGAGCTAGTACTTAAACTCAGTTTTCAAGATCTGTAACTTAACATTTTAGACTAATTTTGAATCTGAAGAAGGAGCAATGTGGTCTCAAGGTCAAAATGAAAAGACAGAGTAATTATGCACTTATAACATTCTATCAGGAATTTCTCCTAAAAAGAAAACAAGGAAGAAAGATATCATTAAAGTTTGAATCTTCCCTAGATATAATTTAATCAGAAAAAATGTGAGGCTATCAAGTATTATTTTTGTCTGTGTTTAGACAAGATTCGTAAGAATATTTACATTGTTTTTCTTCCAAGATCGTGTTTCAAAATTTCACATAATTTAATTATATTAAGATAAAATCTTTCAAAAGTGATGCTTTAACTGAATAACAATCAAAGCTCCATCATTGCAAATTTTATATAGTTAAAATTAATTCTATATCATGCATGTATATACATTTAACTTGCAGTTATCCATAAGAAGATGCTATTTAAAATAGCAATACATTTCTCTAAGTCCTTGTTTCCCAATATGATGTTCAGAGGTGTACTCTTCTGCTATCATGATAGGCAAACATTTTTCTGTTAAGAACCAGATAATAAATATGTTTAGGTTTTGCAGGACATAAAGTATTTGAGTCAGCTTTTCAACTTTGCCACTGTTAACACAAAAACAAGAAATGGGCATGACTATATTGCAATAAAACTTTATTTACAAAAACAAATGGTGAATAGGATGTGATTTGTTAACCCCTATACTAAATTATAAGTTATAATTTATAACAGCTATGCTGAAAAAACAAATATGCACTCCACACAGATAAGTTTGTGATGCACGGTATTAAATAACTTTTCAAAAAGCTAATCTACTCTACTGCAGGTCTTTTCAGAGATGTATGTGCTAATTTGCATAATGACTGTCCAAGAAAGGGGTTTATTTGCACATTTTCTAGAATCACCCATTTACATCTTAAACTCTTACAATCCCTTAGAACACAGCTTGAGAAATACTGCTTTAAGTCTCTACAATGCTCAGGCCAAATATAACAATAATTCTATTTTTAAAAAGATGTTATTTATTTGAGAGAGAGAGACACAGTGAGAGAGGGAACACAAGCTATGGGAGTGGGAAAGGAAGAAGCAGGCCTACCCCCGAGCAGGGAACCTGATGCGGGGCTCGATCCCCAGGATCCTGGGATCATGACCTGAGCTGAAGGCAGACTCTTAACGACTGAGCCACCCAGGTGCCCCTATAATAGTAATTCTAAAGGGAAATAATGTCTATTTAAATATATAACTTCACATTCTAAGGAATCACTGCAATGTTACTTTAATTCTTCTCAAATGATAGAACCTTGACACATATCATGTACTTTCAAATAAAATCAGTAATTTCTAATCTCAGCAGAAATGCACAGTGGTGCCATGCTAAAAAGGCAATGATATTAAACTGTACTGTCTGATACTTAATTTTGATTAAGTTATGTTAAGTGATGTTAAGCATAGCTACAGTATTAAAATATATTAAATTATTGAAGTTGCAATAATTGAAGATAATCACTGACCAATAATATGGAGTTCACATACATCTGAGGGACTCTGCCCAGTTCATAATCTCTCATGGGCACTCAGTAGTCTAAATGTTATTAATATTTTCCTAAAACAGAGAGCTCCTGGTAGGGATAACTTTCTAATATTCTATTCACTTGCTGAAACATGGATTCAGCACCATGAAAATGTCAAATCAGTATCAAAATTATGCCATTAAATCTAGATGACTACTGTTTTGTTGTTGTTGCTGCTGTTTTTACAGAATACAACACATTACAACAGAATACTCTTCTTAGACTCTTCCCCTTGCTCCCTGTTTCTGTCCCTCTTTTTCTGTTTTATGCTCTCTCTCCTCCCCCCTACCCCTCTCTCTCTCTCACTCACACAGACACACACACACCCCTTCTCAATTTCCATTTTACTTCCTCTGTAATCCTGGATTTCTCTTGGAACTGATAAAAATCCAAAGCTCTTTAAAGTATGTATGTTTGAATGGAGGAGTTAAGGGCTGATAGCTCACCCCAGACATTTTTTCAAAGGAATCTGAGCGCTAAAGTCTCCGTAGAGCTAAGCTGCTTCAGTCTGGTTCAACTAGCAAATCTGTGGTAGCTTTTCCCAAAGTACAGGTCGATTCAGACCTTGCGAAGGAATTTCTAATCTCAGGATTATTTTGCAATCCCTTCCTCCTTCCCATGCTCAGGGAAATATACTAAGGGACCCTTGTTTCCTGTTGTTGGAAATAACTTACCCAGAATTAACAAAAATTGAATCTGAGCTCTTCTGGGAGAGGGTCCCAGCTGATCACCTTTACTCCGCTGTTTCTGTGGATCTGCTAAATACCCACACCTACGCAGTTTTAATTTTGGTAACGAGTTATATAGTTTAAATCCTCTCCTGTACAATCTAAAGTTGTTAGGATGAGCAATGGGGTTTTAGTCATATAATTTAAAATTATGCGAACAATAGATAAAACTAAACATAACATGGTAAACAAAACCCAGAGGGAGGGAGAGGTGCTAATAGCATTGCTCATCTTTCATAGTCAGTTATTAATAAATACATGGTGAGAACTGAAGAAATAAAAGGAAGCAAGTGTGCTATTTAGAATCAGAAGATTTAAAAATGCAAATACCAAAATGTCCACGACTCAGGAGACTGGATTGAGAAATGAAGTTAGGTGCGACAAAAGGTATTTATTTAAAAGCCATATAGTCCCATTTCACTATGTAGTTACCATACCCTGAACTTACTTTTAATACTACAAATACATAAATTGTACTAGTGAGAATAAAATCAACCCTTTGGGTGAAGTCTTCAATAAGTCTCTGGAAATTTGGGAGAACCATAGCTATCCTGAATAACTCGTTAGGACTGACTTGTCTCACGCTATAAAAACTAGCAACTTACCTTAAGAAAAACTACTCTCCCTTTTTGTTAAAGATTTTTTTATTCATTTTAGAGAGAGAAGCTCCAGCAGGACTCAATCTCCCAAACTTGAGATCATGACCTGAGCCGAAATCAAGAGTCCGAGGATCATCCAGGTGCCCCAGAAAAACTATTTTTCTTATGCTACCATTAATGAGTTTTTCAGAAAATTTTCGTTTAAAGGCAAAAAGAATGAATTCTCAGATATAATTTCTGAGATTATCTCCCACGTACATAGGGGTCTCTGAATCTTGAGAATTTTTAACACGAGCAACACATAACATTAAAGGATACTGTGTTTTGTTTAGAATGACACTGTTAAAATATTTAATATAATTTCTCATAAAGATAAGTAACATTTAAACCAGAGTAGGAAAATTATATATGCATTCATTAGAAGAAACAACATAAGAACACGCATCATTTTTTTAACTTTTCTCTCACCAAAAATCTCTATATTAGATGCAGCCAGGCACTGGAAGGGCATACAAATAAGCAAGAAAATCCTAGAGGGACACAATTCCTTAGAATAAGCAAGAATTTTATGGAAAAAGCAAGAATTTTATGGGAAAAAAATGTAGGGACTCCTGGGTGGCTCAGTCAGTGAAGCATCTGCCTTTGGCTTAAGTCATGATCCCAGAGTCCTGGGTCCAAGCCCAGCATCTGCCTCCCTGCTCAGCAAAGAGTGTGCTTCTCCCTCTGCCTCCTCTGCCTTCCCTGCCTTCTCTCTTTCTCTCTCAAATAAGTAAATAAAATCTTTTAAAAAAAGAAAAAAAGAACAAGCATGTAATCATTTACAAGGTTTGGCAAACAATATATACTTATTTAATACATTCTTGTCACTTTGTATTCTACTGAATTACACAACCTGGTAAGAGATCGGTACGGTACTCTCAGGTGGACTCCAAGGAAACAGTCCAGTGGTAGCTACTGTGAGAACAACCTTCATGGGTCTTGTGAAAAGGCGAGCACCTATGAAATACGTTTCCTTTAAAGAAACATTCTCTTCAAATAGATAGTAACTACTGCTCCTTATTTCTCCTGTCCCTTTATTTCTCTTAGCTTCTAATTTTACTGTTGGATTCAGAAGAATTATGCTCAAGAAATTAGAAATTCACCCATGGCTTGAATATGCTTGGGTGTCCTTAAGGAGAGGATTAAGAGGATTCTTTATGCCGGCATAATTATTGGAATCACTCTTCACTGGAAACTCTGTTGGCCAATCTGCGCAAAAACAACCCACAGCCTAGTGCGAACAGTATGCAACATATTTGATTCATCAAGTTGAATTCCAGGAGTCACATTAAAAAGGCACCTAAACACCCTGCCCCTAAAGCAGGTCTGCCTTCTCTCAGTCTTATTTGCCTTCGAGAAGTCATGTCTCCTGAATTCTGCTCCTGCTAATGGGTGCATGTTATAAGTGAACAGAAGAGCAGGCTTGCATTCCCATGCTCCTTGAATTAGCCCTTAAATTTCCTGACATATTTAGTAATGGTGATTCACCCCTAAAATGATTTAAGTCCACATAACGAGATTCATGTCGTGAGGATAATCCTAGAACCTATCAAACAGTAACAAAAAGATTGTCTACAGTAGAAATATTTTCTGATTCTATGGTTATAAAACCCAAGATTATTCTGCTAGAGACACATGTTTCATGATCATTTTCTGGAGAGGCACCTTGTCTTTTCAATAGATCTAAGACCATGTTTTCATGTTCAACTCTTGAATTCTTTTGAGAAAGAATTAGAGGTAATTAGGGGGTTGGGGTCTGTGAGGACTACTTATTCCTTCTACGTGTTTCAGTCCCAATTCTGCTGTATGTCTATGTATAGATATACCTGTATCTATTTACACAGATAATAAGGAAAAAT